AAAAAAAAAAAAAAAAGAGAGAAGATAGGTAACAAGCATATACTTTCCAGCCCTTTAAGAATTCTTATCTTGTACCTACACTCCTATAATATTGATAGGATAGTAATATTCTGCATAGCTTTTTTTTTTTTTGAATGGCAGGACAAGTTTCCTGAGAAGTTAGATTGAGAGGTGTCAGGTGGGAATAATGAAAATGAGGCAGGGAAATTTTATCCCTGAGCTGCCAATGCTCCCACCAGAAACATCTTTGAGCACTCTCAGCCTCCACCTGACAGTCTTCAGTTTTGACTGTTAGTCCTCTATGATTTAGAAAAACTGGCTGCAGAATATTAAGATAGATCTAAGGGTCTAAAGATTATAGAACTTGATAAATTAGCTCACTGATAGTCTAAGACAGTGTTGAGGAGCATTAAACAATGGTTGGTTTTCATGAGTTCACTAAGAATGTGTGGAAGACAGAAAGTGATCCCACGTGGTTTACAGAAGGCAGACCCTCACAAGAAACATGAGGTATTTAGAGTTCACAATTATGCTAACAAGGCTGCTCTTACTGTTCATTACTCAACATTAAAGAAGTGGATGGGTGAGAACAGTTGGATGGAATGGCACCTACTGAGACAAATGCTGGGACATCAACTTTAGGCATAAGTCAAACTATCTCAGCCCTGAGGATCCTTGCATGATCTAACTTCTCCACAGATGCATTTATGTCTCTGGAAACTTGTGAAGTTTAATTTTGCCAAGAATGAATGTCTATGTAACAGAAGAGTTAGATAATGAAGTCTAGGACACCATTTTAGGCCAAAATAGTGTCTATCTATATGCACAGAGTAGTTGGAGAGAGAGGATAGTATGGTTCTTGGAAGTTTTGAAACAATCACTGTTCAAAGTTCACAGAAAATTCACTGAATAGTTTTTTTGAGTTGGGGTTCATAAATTTTGTGCCTCTCCCATTCTACAGTTCCTTGATGAACTGAAGACAGATTCGAGGGGTACAAAAAGGGATCCAATTACAGTGTGTTTTATTAATGGTTAAGCTGGGTTGGAGACATAGCTGGACTTTCTATCTCCTTCTTGGAACCTAGACTGCAGGATCCTGACTTATTTACCCAGGAGCAGGTGGAGAGGCTGGAATTACATAGCACACAGCTGTCCTGGGCAAGAGGCAGCTAAGTCTTGGACATGAGATGATGTAAGCCTGAACATAGGTGGTCCATGCTGCACAAGAGTAGTTGTACTCAGTACCCCTACCCTATCCTGTTTTCCCTGAATGCACATAGCTGGACTTTCTATCTCCTTCTTGGAACCTAGACTGCAGGATCCTGACTTATTTACCCAGGAGCAGGTGGAGAGGCTGGAATTACATAGCACACAGCTGTCCTGGGCAAGAGGCAGCTAAGTCTTGGACATGAGATGATGTAAGCCTGAACATAGGTGGTCCATGCTGCACAAGAGTAGTTGTACTCAGTACCCCTACCCTATCCTGTTTTCCCTGAATGCCATGAATGCCACACTCTCATCATTCTCACGAAGAGCAAAAGTACATGCACAGACACACACACACACACACACACACACACACACACACACACACACACACACACACACACACACTGCTGTGCCATGAAGAGCAGAGAAAAACTACTGCTTCTGATACTATGGCAATTCTATTTTAATTAAAGGGAAAAAAAACTATCATTGTAAATACTTACAGCCCCACTACAGTTCCTTGCAGAAGGGTGTCACACTGAAAAGGAACTGATTCTAAACATCCAGGGCTAAAAAATCAATTCTGACAGCAGTAGCAAAAGTAACAACAATGACAAACACAGACAGTAAATTTTAATCTACATTATATTTATTATGGAAAATGAAATGCAAAAAAATAACTGAAAATTTTTTGAGAGTAAAACTAAGTGATCAGTGGAATTTCATTGATTTATCAATTCAAATATCAAGTCCAAAATGAGGGTGGATATGCAATTCCAAGATCTTGATCTATCCTTACATAGATCATAACATTTCATCTTTTTTCCTAGGCAATGAGTTTTTATTGGCAAGTCAATTTCCACATATTGAGGACTTTCTTGAATAAACCATTTTTATGACCTTTGTATACAGACATCATGAAAAGATGTAACTTTAGATTCTAATATTGCTACATTCATAAATGAAATTTCATTTTGAATACTACTGTTTCTTCAGCGATTTAACACTACATTACACTCTTGGTCTCTCTCAGCTGGGTATTTTACACACAAGTGATTCTCACATCGACATCTGTAATTCTTCTGGGTGGCGTTTAAATTAATACACATCTTCCACAACAATCACATAAATACATCTTTCAAACAAGAGTAAATATTGATCAGCATCAAGATTTCAGGTATGATACTCTTATAAATATATTTTTAGTAGTTAAAAAACACAAGCAGTTACAGTTGTAATTGGTTCTAATTGTAGTGTTCTTATGGTTGACTGGCCTCTCATTTTTATCTAAGATACAAAGATGGCACATTCATTCTCTGAAACATAAATATATTAAATGGCATTATTAACCTTTCTACTGAGAAGTGGTTATATTTGCACTTTCCTGTAAAGAATTCTCTAATAATGGACAATTCTGGTATTTCCATTCATATTTTCAACCTAATATGCAGCCAACACAATTTTTAGTGTCAAGGAATTGGGGTCAAATCATGTTAGGTTTTAGCAACTAGATCAGACCTTTTGATCTCTAATGGAAAATTTCCTTTTAGAAGAGACAAGAGAAACTCAACATCAATTCACCGGTGGGAACTGTGGTAAGTTGGCAGATGTTGTCCAGTGTGGACATTTGCTGACTAATGTCTTATCTAGTCCACATAGTATTACCTGTTACCAATAATACCAATCTGAATCCTCCTTAAGGAACTCCCAATGGCTCATATCCTATTATCCCACCAACAACATCTGTAATTTTTAATAAGTTTTTGCTCTTTTGACATCTCTTTGGTGTTGCTAAACATTGTTTTGCTGATGTCAGAAGAATGCCTGCAATCATTTCCCACTTTGAGTGATTATACATACATTCTTTTGAAATCTATATTCTTTTGAATATAACTCCAAAAAACATGGGCTTTTATCAGCCTGTGCAAATAAACACACTAATAAATGTACAACTGGAGTCTACAAAACATAGTTGGTTTCCCCAGTGTCATTTCCAGACATAAAATTAGGGGCTTAAGGAACAGCATTAGACCTCTGAAGCTGCCTGGGTACCAGTTTGTGCCTTAGTAAGGTGCTAACTGGATTTTTGTGGTCCAGTGGGACTGGTCTTTCCTAAGCACCAAATCTGCTACTAGGGAGTAACTCCATTTAATGGGGAGCATATGGTCCAATATTAACGTACGTAAAACAGAATAGTCATGGAAATATTCAGTTTTCAATTAGTTGTATATAATGACTTAAATATACCAGTATCAATAAAATGCATTTATGTGTGCATATATATGTGGGTAAGCTATGTAGTTATGTATACATTTTTATGTGTAGAAATGAAAATACACATCGAATAGCCCTTTTGAGGCTTTTGAACAACTGTTTCATCTTCCTGCTTTCCTGTAACTTATTTGAGGATTTAGATTATTCATACAAGGTATGTACACAATCACACCCATAGTATGTACATTCTAGTCACACACTTAACACAGAGAGGATGTGTGAGGAATGTAATTCATCCTGGTAGTCAAAGAACTGACCTTACCTGTGACTAATGGCATGGTTAATTAGCCCTGGCATATTTAGTAACATGCCAATGCACTGATTATTATACTCAGCTTTTGTGATAGTTATGTTACCTACTCTCGGATGATTAAAAAAAAACAACAGCCCTTTTTGACCTTCAAAAATGAAAGGACATATCTTGGTACTGAATACACATGCACACTTTCGTTGGCTTTATTCATTTTCATATGTGCCTACCTGATGACAGAACTTGGTCTTAAAATGGGATACAGCATATTTTTTCTACACATAAAAATAGAAAACCAACCACTCACAGACTGTACACACTTACAGAATATACTGACAGACCACAACCAACTACAGTATTATGCACAACATATTGTTCACGTGTTAGTATAGCAGAGATAAATACATTTAGAAATTTAGTAATTGTTGAGTATATTTTGCTCTTGAGTTTTCAGGCTCTGTTGCCTTTCTCGACCTCAGTGAAAGGTCTCTCCAGATGCTCTTAAAACAAGAATTAGTCTCTCCTCTCCCCTCAGGATTGAGGAGTATGACTGTAATACTGAATCTCCTAATTTACTAATATCATTTTAAGACACAGTGGAAAACATGAAAAATAATTTACTTGGAGATGTAGTCTAAAATAAATGCTAAGGAGAGTCTGAACTAAAATCACGAATCCTCTCTTAGTCTTTCAATATAGTTTTCTCTATATGTAGTCTTCATATATTAAAAGCAATTATATAAATCAGAAAAATCTGCTTAACTGCTTAAAAGTTTTGCTGAAGAATAGACACTTAATTTTTAAAGTAACAAAGAGTAATGCTAGCAGCAATGTCAAAAAGCAAGCTGTAATTTTTACCCCAGAAATAAGTGGATGACATTCCCACATCTTTGGATAGAGAAAGAAGTTAGCATTTCTCTCCCATTTAATTCTCCTTAATACACTTCAGTCACTGGGGTATCTCTGTAATTATCACTATGCTGGCTGCTAATCAGTGTATTTTTCTGAAGTGTAAAATATGTGATTTTTCATTCTTACTGTTTTGCAGTCAATTGATTTTGAGTTTGAGCCCAAAAAGACACTCGATGAAGAATTAGTTTTTAGGAACTCCCATTTGGAACATCTTTTTGTGTAAGGCATTATTTGAGGCCCCTTTCGATGAGTACTCATGTTTTAGTTATTTTACATTTGGGAACCCATTTTTCATAGCTAAGGCTGGTAATCCCTCAGGCGGAGTTAATTGAATTGCTTTTCTACATGCTCCTGTCCAGGAAGAGTAATTTTCAAGGTTTAACCCCTCCATTCCAACCATTTTCCTGTTGGAGAGGTCTTGAGTTCTAAGTTAGCAAGACTTTCTGACTCCTTTTCTGTCTTGGTTAGCATTCAGACAGAGATGTTAAGCACATTCCTACTAATGCTCACTAGAGCTGCAGCTCTTTATGGAGCTTCTACACAAGTTTTTTCCAGCAAGAAAGCAGAAATCATGCCATTCTTATTATATCATTGGGATACAGTTAGTCTTCATGGAGCAAACCATGCCATACAATGGTGTGCCCATAATAGAAGCACTTGCTGGTATAACTGCCTCTGTTTGGCACATTATTGCTTGGCTTTAACTTCATTTTCAACAGTCTTTATTCTTGTGATGAGTATCTGAGATATCTGGGCCTTAGGAAAAACACTAGACTTGTCAATGACATCTTGTTGCACCATTCTGGGCTCCAGTCATTTCACCAAGGCCCATGGTTATTTAAATGTCCTTTATTGTTTTCAGCATTGCCTTGATTTACCTAATAGTCAACAGTACTTTTTCAGACTTTTTGTTGTTTCTATCTACACATATATACAGATGTATTGGATTTACTTTGAGAGAGGTTATTTGGTTGTGGCAAGTAAGTAGTTTAGCTGGTGAATGTTCACAGTTAAAAGTAGCTGTAATGACCTCTGGTAGATGTCACTGATTACTTGTGAGACAGAATTTTTCCACCTCAATCCATCTTCATTCATGTCCTTGGACACTGCAAATCAAGTGTATTTGATTTCTGTAGCCAAGGAACAATTTTTTTCCCCCAAGAGTAGGATAAAGTTCATGGAAATCTGTTCCCATATTGACAAGACTATTTTCTTCCCCTTTTTCAAAAATTCCTAACATTTTGTAGACATCCTTAAGCCCACGTGTCTGCACAGATAACATTTATAATTACTCAGCCATTTGCAGAATTTCATTAAGAAGGATATAGTTACAAGGATGGACAGGAGATTTGGCGTATCACCTGTCATTTGCCAGGTGGCAGTAGCTGACCCACATTTGGAGAGATTCAACCAAAAGGGCCACACAAGGCATCAAAGAACATTGTTAACAGAAAACAAAATGCTCTGATGTGAATATATGATAGCAAATACTGAAGCAGACATGGACAAGACTTTTGACTCACTGTGTAGACAAAGCAGGGGTGGGGAACAAGATGCTCAGCTAATATAGCCAAGATACTGCTGAGTTCACTGTATTATTATCACAAAGGGAAATTCACAGGCCTCATTTCTCAAATACCACTTAGGACAAAGCAGGAGAGTAAACAGTGTTATCTCCATGGCAGCATTATAGACAATGAAGAAATCAGATGGGTAGAGGCCCACAAAAGGCTGCAAGTGCCCAAATTTCAGTAAAAACACATATACATATATGCAAACCTTATCTTAATATATTGTTTTTCTTTATACTGATTTTTAAAAAGTAGACAAGGGATGTGGTGAACTATATGGTACTAGAAATGGACACATTTTTTAACATTTGCACAATATGTAGGAGGAATAGGAGACATTTTCTCACATTTTGGCAGCAGAACAGTAACAGTAGACACAGTGAAGTCCAAACCATACATGAACAGCATACTCACATGTACCCTCTGTAAACAAAGCTGAAAGTCACAACATATTCTTCATGTGGTATATACAGGTATTCCCAGGATGATAGGAACTCCCAGAAATGAGAGGAATAACATTAGAATACACTAGGAACAATAACAAATACTCTGGGATGCAACCAAGAGCCACTTTCCTCTTCAGCTTTCTACTTTAAGATGGGCAAGCTCCTATTAAAGATTTGGTTACAAAATTCAACCTCTAGAGTATAAGATATGCATGCCTATCCAGCCCAATTTATTTTAATTTTGATATTTAACCTATTACATGAAGAACACTGGTATTCAAAATAATGAATATCAGACAATTCTAAAGATTGAAAAATCATAAAAAATCAAATTAAATAGAGCTGAACTTGTCAAGGAGGAAAACATGCTAATATGGTGTATAAATCTCTCATTTTGGATAAAAACAAAAAGGTTTCTGGTTAACGTTGACCAAACAAAATGTTTTCACCTTATGCTACTGATCCAAAAACACCACAAGGTTAATTAGGATTTTACTATATCTAAAGTAGTTGGGCTGTGGTGTGGCATCAGAGCCAATAACCCAGAAAGAGATAATTAGAAAAGCACTGAAGATAAACATATGGTGGTTAAAGTGATGACACTTTTCTTACAGTAATTAAAACAGAAAAATCAGTATTTAAACTAAAAATTCTAATATTCACTGGGTAAACCAGATAGCATCTTAACATTTTAAATGTGTCATTATCTTCCAGATACTTTGTTCTAACACATCTCTTACTACTGGTTTTAGAAACATTTTCTATTTATTTACTTAATAAAATATTTCCACAATGAAAATGCATTAAAAAGGAATAAAACATATTGAAAAGAAAGAAGAGGCAAAAACAAACAACTTTCAACCCAGTGTATGTCATGCTGGAAGATAAAGAGCAGCCGGACCAGTTCCAAGGGTCTGCCATGAGAATTCTTCTGCAACTTCATTTGGTGAGTGAACCTAAGGGGTCACAAAGGAGGGACTGAATGTCTGTACAGAGTCACAGATTGAAGTGAAGGACATTTTTCAAGTCAAGGTTTTATGGTGGGAGTTCTTGGGGCATCATTAGGCAAAAATACTGCTGTCTCGAATGACATCCTGTCTTATTGATCCATTTGATGATCTACTTGTTACTATTTTTAAAAGCTGTTCCTTCTATAAGATTCAATAAGCCACAAAAGAACTCTTTCATACTATTCAGTACTAATTTGTACTATTACATAGTATTATGTACTATATATAGTATTTTGTACTATTCTGACAATCCCTTGAGAGTGGTAGAAATTGAAAAGTGAAGAATTAAAGACTAAAAAGTAAAGGTTAGTTCCAGCACCAAAGAAAACAAGGTAAAGTTACCACATCAAACATGGAGTCTTACCTGGGGAGGCACAACTACACCACCAAATTTAGCTTTGATTAATGTGATTTTATTAATTTGTTTATTTAATGTGCAACAAATGCCTACAACTCTGAGGCCTCTGCTTCATTGAACTATTTATAAATCATGTGGTTTCTCCAAACTCATGAAAATAAATACTTTTCCTAGATGCCGAATTCTTCCTTTTCTTCTATTTTAATGCAGGAACGGCCTGTTCCAGCCACTTTGTGGCAGAGGATTACCTGGGGCCCATCCATCTGGAGTTGGTACTGTTGACAGCTGCTACTGTGTACACAGGCTGTTCTGTGTGTATACACGGCATGTATGCCAATGAGTGAGGCAGGCAGCCAGTGAGAGAGGGAGGGCGAGAGCCTGTCTGGCAAAGGCATCTCCCACGGAAGTGACAGGACACTGATACAAATGGGTGCTGAAGGCCAGAAGAGAGAGTTTTAGACCACATCTCAAATCATTAATAGTGGTTTGCTTGCTGTTTTGATGGTAATTTCTACTTTAAATAGTATCCTTAATAGAGGCCAATTGGTAAGGAACCTGAAAAATGTAACTTACTAAAAAAATTGTCTGTTCCAACTACAACAATTGTGATCACCATTCTCAGACTCCGAGAATGCTGCGACTTGCGCAGGCTTCAAACATAGTCCAATTGCTTTGAAAGAAATCAATGGCTATTTGCCAATTTAGGCTGTGCTCAGTGTAGCCTGGGGTGTTAAAGTTCAGGTACGATTTCCCCCCATATATTCAGAATCTGCAGAAGAATTGAAAAAAAAAACAACTAAAACAGAGATTGTGAGTTCACAGCACAAATGGCATTTCTGAGTCTCTGGAGAGAGGATACATGGACAGACACTATTTTCTGGCTCAAGGAGAATTAGCTCAGAGGGGGCAGCCTGCGAATGCCCCCCTGACATCTAACAATCTGATTTCCTAAATGTAAAATGGAGACCAGCACTGTCCCTACAGTGAATCCAGTAAGGGCTGACTTCTCAGGTTCCTAGCTACTCCCCAGTTCCATACTACCTCACCTCTCAAGCCACTGCCGTTCCTCCCAGGCCAGTGTCCTGTAAGACACTCCTGGGTCTCAGGGACATACTCTTCCTCTGGAGACAGGTGAGTGCTGAGCTCAAGCAGGTGTCTATGTTCTCAAGAACCATGGCCCACCCAAAGGTCAAAACTGTTTCAGAAGAGGCCTCTTCTTTTATTGGGCTTGAAGGATGAGATAGGATGGCACTTCTCTTAAAATCAAGTTTGCAGAGGTGACCTTTTCACTGCAGATTAGAAACCTAAGCAATTAGGTGATATTAGTCAACATACAAAAACTAAGGAAGCTTGTGTTCCATTTGGTGTTGACTACCTTTCTATTAGAAGCCACTGAACCAAATTCAAAGAAAAACACAAACTGCAACCTGTTTACAGGAGTGGAAATTAAACATATTGTTTGTGTTACTCAGGAGGCTTTCTTTTTTTAATGTAGAAAAAAAAGTGTTTGGTAATCAGTTATTTATAATTCCTTACCAGAACCTTAACATTCTCAGAAGAATGTTTTTGGAGAACACCTCTAGAACACACAATTTGGTATTATCAATAATTTGACTCTTTTTAAGAATTCAGTTGCATGTACTTCCTCTAGGGTAATGAAAGATGAATCTAATCTTGTCAGAATCAGAGATATATTCTGCCTTCAGTGCAGGAAAATCTGTACATTAATTCATATATTATGTGGGCAGTACTCATATTCAAAAGCTTAGCTAATTCTAATATAACTTTCTGACATTTATGAACTGGTATAACACAGTTTATAAAAATGGTTATCTGCAGATGTTTATAAATATTAATTAACAATTGGTATTTTATGCATTTAAATACTTTTACTTAATGTCATCTGGTCTAGGAAAGGGTAAAATTTGTTTCAATTTTTTACACTGAAGTTCTCATTACCTACTTAAGTTTAATGTGGTAACAGCATTCTTATTGCACTAGAACTAGAAAGTATAAGTGTTTTTGCTAATAGTGTTTTTGCTGTTTTTAATATAAAGCCAAGATTTTAGTGGAAATACCAGTGTGATAAATTGAGGGAGTAATAGTACAAAATGACATATGTATAACGGTAATGCTAGTTCTACAAGCAACGTCTTATTTAAAAACCCAGTGAATATTATTTCCTTTTAATTAAGAAGCTTGTTTCTTTTCCCTTGTTCTTTCTTTTGTAATAAAATTACATTTTCACTTATGGAGCCCCAGTCAGAGGACCCAACAATTCTCAACAGGAACTCGCTACTGTTAATACTCGCTTTCTCTTCCTGGTTGCTCAGAAAAAGCTATGCAAGCCTTGACACAAACAGACACTTGGGAACACCGTTAGGTGCACACAACGGCTCCCAGAAATACTCCCCGTCAGTCCAACACCGAGGAAGGCGCAGGGCGCACACAGCAGCTGGGGCGCCGCAGGTTCTGCAGCATGGCCTGGAAAACACCGTGCTGCCTCCCTTTCAGCTTTCGGTTGGAGGAAGTATCTGAGGATATGGACCTGCGGGTCTGGCTGCTTTGAGCTTTGATTAATTTCTCGTGTTCCCTGATTTGTCTTTGTAAATGGTTCTGGATGGCGACACCCAGGGACTCTGGGTCCAGGGAAGCACCATACACTTCCCAGGTCATGCCCTGCTCATCCCACACGACGTCCCTGACGCGCCTGGACTGCTTCAGCTGCAGCCTGGAGTCGGCGCCAAGCTGCTTTTTCTTCTCCCCTGGAGTGAGTCCCACCTGAGCAGCAGCTGCCGTCATGTTTAACTTCTGCTCCTTGAGGAACTCGCTGACCCGGCTGGCCCGGCGCGGGCTGGCTTTGGCCAAGCGAGAGGGGGTCCTCTTCCCAGAACTCGGACTGGAGTCGCCCACAGACTCGGATGGCAGGCTCAGGCTCGTGGCTGTCTTGCTCTGCCTATTTTCCTCTGTGCTGCCCTCCTGGTTCTTTCTAACCGGGGAGGGAGTGCGACTGGCAGCTGATTCTGTGCCTTCACTTTCTTGAGACTTGGGATTGAGCAGGAGGCTTTTGGCCTCTGCCCTTGCCCTCACATCAAGGACGTGGGTGCCCCTAGATTCTTGTTCTTCCACTGTCTGGGGAGACGCAGGCTTCTCTCTTGCATCACCTAATTTATTAGCCGTATCTGAGCTGCCAGACTGGTCAGCTTTGCCCATGCGACCGCAGGAGTCTGAGAGTTTGCAGTCTGAGTCTGTTTTGTGTCCATCAATGGGCTTCACTGCAAACTCAGATGGCTTGGTTTCAAATTTCCCCGACCCATAACTTGTCTCAGCTTGACTTCCTGCCCTGGTAGAAATCTGGTTAAGGGGGCTGACTTTCATGGAGCTAGGACCAGTACCTGAAAGCTCTTTAGAGCTGGGTTCTTGCCCTGCTGGAGTCATTCCTGCTGACTTCCCATCTGCACACGTATCCTGTGCACTGCTGGATGCCACATCAGTTGATGAGGTTTTAAGGACCTCACCTGGTAGGCTCACCGATTTACGTTCTCCCTGGGAAGCTGTGGGAATACCTGTGGCTGCCTGGATGTGCACAACTGGCACGATGCCAGGGCACTGCCCCACCTCCTGGGAGAACAGGGTGTTGTCAGACAGTTCCAATGTGTGGTCCCCACTGCCACTGCCAGGACAAATGACATGCAGCTGCTCTTGTTCGAAATGCTCAGGAGCAGGGATTTCCTTTAAGAATGCAGTGAGGATGCTGGGGCTGGTGGAGACGGACCTGCTTTCCACACTTGCCACGGCCTGCACCTCTGCATCCTGCTGAGCCCTCCTGGGAATTTCCTTGACATCACTGGTAGCTTGGCTGGTCATTGTACTTGCTTCCTTGAACCTGGACACCTGAGGCTGGGCTGGTAGCAGAACCTTCTCTGGCTCTGAAGGAAACGTCAAAACTTTGCTAGTGAAGGGGTTTGCTTGCTGTGTCACAGAAGTCACGGCCTGGGTGTCTGGGGCAGTGGTGGAGCGCTGTTTGTCCTCTGAACATCCACCTTCTCTTGCTGGAGAGTCACAGGACCTTGTCTGGGAGTTGCAAATGACTCCCTGCCTTTCCCCTTCAGGTCCACCTATGGGAGAGGAGGCATGACCGGCCACTCCTGTGGCTGCATTTGCAGTTTGCACTATTTCCTGGGTTGTCTCTGGACAAGGAAAATCACAGGACACTGGATCTCTGCTGCCATCCCAAGTGCCTCCTGTAGGACAACCTGACGTCTCAGGTCGCTCTTTATGTGAGGTTCTCTGTGACTTCACCAGGCTAGCTTCCGGTTCTGAGGAGAGGCTGGCGCAGGACCAGACATCTGGGGAGGTCCGGTGGGCGTGATGGCTGGCTGGCATTGTGACTGTGTCATGGATGAGATCTTTTCCTGCTGTAGAACACAGGGCTGGCGCTCCCGGCTGGCTGCTCCCTGGCAGCTGGGTATTGCCAGGAGAGTTGCATGTGGGAGACACTTTTTCCACCTCACTGAGAATGCCAGGAGAAGACATGTCTGGCTGGGTGGTCTCATGCTCACAGGCCTGCATCAGGGCCTCAGCAGCTGCCCTGGGGCTGAGGTCTGGTGCTGCAGAAGGACCAGAAAGGCCATTGGTGTTCTTACACAGGAGGGCTGGATGAAGCTGAGGTGAGGCAGCCCGCACCTCTCCTAGATCCTCTTCTTTTCCAGAAGCTGTGATCAGAGAAGTCTTCGTCGATCTCAGAAGGTCAGGTACAGTCCCCATGGAATTTCTCTTCAAGGAAACCTCAGAGCTCTCCCCTGATCAATGCTCCTACTGGGGAACAGTTGTTAGCTCTACAGTTGTTAGCGTGAAAATGCAGTCAGCAGTGACTCCTCTGAAGCGCCAATCTGAAAATCAAGGAAAGAGTACCATTACTCCATTACTACTGTACAGCAGTTAAGGATTGAAAATATACCAAACTGTCATTTGTAAAAGATCTTACAAGCACATTAAACCTCTTCCTCCCATATCTATTGATATAAAAATAGATCTTGGGAAGAAAGATTTTAGAAAAAATATTTTAATTATACAAATATTATTTTGATACATTAGTTTCTGCTTACATCCCACTGCTGTCAAGCAAATAGGTTTTTAATGTAGTTACCTAAGCATTTGATAAGTACCCCAAAAGTCATTTGTGTAACCTGATTTACCAGATACCAGAAAATCCTGTGAAGCTACTGTTATCAAACCAGTAAGTACTGAAACAGGCCTACAAAGATACATGAAATAGAATATCTAGAAATAGAGCCACATATAAATGAAGATTTAATATATGACAAGAGAGCCATTTCAATTTAGGGGCAAAAGGGTACAGTATGTAATATAAGGGGGTGGAAAACTGTTTATTCATCTGGAAGGAAAGAAAACTATATCTTTGTCTTATCCCATCTCCAAAAATAAATCCTAGATGGATTTAGATGGATTAAATGTTAAAATGTAAAATAAATAAATAAATGAATCCTGTAAGAAAATCTAGGAACCGTAGGATAATCTAGGGACAAGTAGGGTGGGCCTCTTTTGGCAAAGCAGAGAATATAGGAACTCTGAGAAAAAACATACAACTAGATGGCAGGATAAAATGCAAACGTTTTGCATGACCAAAGATACCATAAAAAATACAATAGAGTTGAAAAAAAATGTTTCCAACCTTAGAGAACAGGCAAAAATATCTATAATAAAGCAGAAGCTCTCAAAAATTTACAAGGAGACAAAATGGTTCATTGGCAAAAAATGGATAAAGAACATGAAAATGTACCTTGCAAGACATGAAATCCAATAGCCAACAAGCTTATGATCAAATTCATTTGTAGTCAAAGAAGTGCAAATAAAAAAAGAATGAGATTTTATTTTATAATATTTGCACTTGCAAAAACTTAAAAAAAAAGTGACAACACTATGGCCTGAGGATACGTAGCGAAAGCAAGTATTTTTATTAAGTGTATGTACAAATGTGTATTATAGCCTTCTTAGGGTAGCAGTTTTAGGTTTTAAAGCCAGAAATATACATCTCCTTGACCCAGTGATCCCAACTCTATCAACAGAAATAAAATATCTGCTATATATAGATATAGATACAAGTATGTTTATTGAAGGACTATTTGTAGAAGCAAAATAACTGTAAACAAACTGACCTCCATGTATATGGGGAAAGAGTAGGATAAATCATTACATATCTCTACTGTACAACATAATGAAACCATTAAAAGAAGCATTTAATTAGGCTATAACTTCATTTGGGAGGGGTTTCCCCAAGGTGTGGTTGAATGAGAAAAGCAAGGTACAGAAGGGTATATGCATTTTCACTTTTGTAAAACAATGACCTAAAACTCTACATATGCATGTGTGTGTGTGTGTGTGTACAAATATATTTGCATATGACTATATAATTCTAATAATATTCAGAATGAGACATATTAGATGTTAAATAGAGGGAGTATGATGAGCTGGAGACAGGGAAAGAGAGATGGAGGCATTCAAAGGTGGAAAAATACTTAATTCAAAAAAGTTGATCTGAATTTTAAAAAGTATAACCAGACACTAGGTGATGTGGTTAAAGCAATGGTTCAGAAATTAATGGATGACTGTGTTTTAATGTTATCTCTATCACCAATAGGCTCTGCAACCTCACTTAATCTTTCTGGACCCCAAACAAACTCACTGGCAAAGTGAATTACATGATTTCTAAGTACCAAAACACAAGAATCCTACTTCTTTGCATGTGATAGCTAATAAGTTAAATAGCAGAATCCTAACTCAGCATCTAACAGCTCAACATAAGGAAAGGCGAATCTGGCTGAGCCCAGTTTAAAAAAAATAAATTATTTCATATTTTGGTTCAGTGTTATCACTGATCTGCTATCACATGAAACCTAACAAAAAAAATCAACTCATCTTCTCCCCCAAATCAGCTCTTTCTTCTAACTTCATTATTCATATTAATGGGCTGAATATTCTCATCCTTGCTTTTTACTGCTTTCTGTTCATTCAAACCATTTCCCCGGGTGTATATTCTGTTTCTTCCTTACTGGAGTTTTCTATTGCCCCTACCGTGCTTCAAACTCATCTTTCTCTCTTTCTTTTTGCATCTTTTTTATACCTTTCCTCCCATTCGCCATCCTCCTCCTCTTCAGAACAGTCTACCTATTCTTCAAAGCACCACTATCTCATTTAAGGCCGCTAAAGACTTCAAGTTGGGAAGTTTCTTTTCCTCTTTTTTAAAATCCTACAGCTATGGTCATCTGTGTCCTTTGCATTGTGCTTTTTGTGCAGTTTTCCTACCTTTGTTACTTGTGTAAATGCCTTGTTTCTCCAAAAGTACTTAAAGCCCCAGGAGGGAAGGGAGCAAGCATATTGATCCTTTTCTGCTCGCCCCACAGGACAGGGCCTTCTGCATGAGTCTTAATTGACCCCGTTTCCCTCCAAAGTAGCCATTATTAAAGCCTTGTGAAACTTCAAAATAAAAGTAAGTTTTTAACCCACGGCATGAAATACTAATGAAAACACAATTAGAATGCTATTTTTGGAAGTAACAAAATGGTCGTAACTTATGAAACATTATGTATCTGCAACCCAGGTTTAGACAATTAAACCAAGTACATTGGACACCCGCTACAAAAAGCGGGAAGGCCTCATAAAGCCAGGAGCTCAGAGCATCTCTTGTGTTATATGGCTGGAGCCAAGAAATCTGGTTTGCCAAAGACGGCTGTGAAATATGAACAACTCAGAGTTCAGCAACTGAAGGTAGAAAGACTTAGAAAAAGGTGAGAGATGTCATAAAACTCTCAGAAGTTACTGCATTTACTTCCATTTCCCATAGCTAGCTAGCTGACTGTACTAGTTTACCTTTGAAAGGATGTTTTCTTTTGCTTGCTTTGTTAATAGAGGTTAAATTACCCTTCAATTCAGGAATCAAGAAGAAAAGTCCGGATTGCTTGGCTAATACCCGTAATTTGAAATCTCTTGATTCATGGGTAGATAGAAAATCAACACTACTCTCAAACATCTCTGCTAATATAATTGTCATAGCATCCCTATGAGACAAGGAGAGGCTTCCTAAACTCTGAAACAACCCTCTTCCTCCATGTCCCCTTCCCCTCTCCAACCAAATAGCAGAAATCTAGTCTCCAAGAGGTTAGACAAACAGGAAACTTTAATAGCATAATTACTTAGTGGTTTAGTCCCAAGTATATGTCTTTAATATGTCAGAATCCATTATTATAAGATTTAATAATCTCTAAAAATGAGGTTGCAAAAGGTGACCCCCAGACTGAAATGAATCTCTTCTGCAAGGGTGCATATGTTTGTATCTTGCCGTTTTCCATTCCCTTCCTTTTCCCTCCTTCCCTTCTCTCATAACCTCTTCCCCCATCCTTTCTGTTTCTTTGTCTTTTGAATGGAGATCTTTCATAATGTTCCAGATTTCTCTCTTGCTTCTCTAAAATCTTAGAAGGTATGTATTTCCAGATAACAACCACAAGATGGTGCTGATGAGGGCCAGCACCCTTTGTAGGCAGGGACTCATGGTGGCTAATTCCTCACCTACCCTATTTTACTCTTTCACATGATTTACTTGCTCCTGTGCACAGCTAAATTTGAGAACTTTTTCTAAGAGCGTTGACAAGAGTAGATTTCACAACCTTATTTTTAGCCCTTTGAGTGCAGTTTGGCATGGCGTTCAAAAAACATGGACCCTGGGGCCAGAATCCCTGGATTAGAATACCAGTTCTACTTAGCTAGCTCTAGCTCTGTGTGCTTTGACAAGTAACTTAACCTCTCAGGGCACCCATGTAATCTATAAATTGAGGATACTGGTATTGCCTCATTGGAGGCAATATGTGAGGATGGGATGTTTAGCATTTTGAAAAACAGCTATTTCACACATATTAAGCACCTGTAAGTGTTAGTCTCTTTAAAAAACCTCGGTATTTAAGCTTTGATCTGTGTTAAAGAAAAAGTTATTTTGACACATGTTAAATGGTAAGGAAGACTTTATTCAGAACTACTATGATAGGTGTCAAGACTATTACAGTAGAGGAGAAAGATCAAGTTCAATTTCAATGCCAAATACAGCTAGGACAAGTGAGGATTTATAACCAAGTTGCATGTTAGGGGCTGGCATCGGTGGATGGAGACATCAGAGCTATGGAGACTCATGCTGAAGTCAGGCCAGGCTGGAGGGTGATGGGAAATGAAGGATTTGATTGGCTATTGGGGGTAATCAGATATTAAGGGTGGGAGGGTTCTTTCTAAACTGGCTTAGTGAGACTCCTGCCAAAACTGAACTCTGTAGGGACAGACATGGAAACCCAAATTGAGGCCTAGTCGAGAACAGGGCTTGGAGGAACCTGACCAAAGTTTGTTCAGGGAGGGAGTCTGTCTCTGCACTGGTGAATGTGTATTTTCTTGTAAGGCTCTATGTAGTTTCATTATTGATTCTCTCTGAATCAGTCATGAATCACACAGAAGCTAATGGTATCTCTAAGCAAGTTTGTCTTTAAGTTTGATGGCAACTAGGCTCTTGATAGCAGGTTTGTTTGGCACTTTTGCCCTTAAAATCATGAGCAAAGGTTTAAATTAAAGCCTTGTTTTTGCAATGCAGCAAGTCTGCTGGGTAAACATTATCCACCTTTTATAGGGAATGAAACTGAGGCCCAGAAGTTAAGTAACCTACTCAAAGCTGAATACCTATAATTCCTGTTGAACTGAATTCTAGTGGATGCTAATGCCTGGTTCCCTTGTGTACTGCTTTCTTATTATCGGTGGCTCTGGAAAGAAAGTGGAGAGGAAGGAAAAATTTAAGACAATATGTGTGTTATAATAAATATGGTATTTTATATATACATTTTTAATATATTTTAAAATATAAAAACTATATATGTAAATGTGTATATATATATATATAGCTATAGATCTATAGCTATATATATGTGTGTGTGTGTGTCTGTGTATGTGTGTATATATATATATATATATATATATATACACATACATAGAGACAAGGAAGCATTTTTTTGCAAGTGGCTTGCAACTCAAGGGCAGTGTGGATGGCATTAACACCAACTGTAAGGACATTTATAACCAGTCACTTTATAAAAAGCCTGGCTTGTTGAAAGCTAACATAGCTACTGCTCATTCTGAAAATAGTGGGTTCCACTACTATGCCATGCTGCCTGTTTTCATAACAGATGCCCACGCTTAATAAGACAGGCACTGGCAAGAGCATTAGAAAGTATGGAGAGAGGCTTGGCAGTTCTGGCCCAGCAGGATGCTGATATACTGCAGGTCACCGATAATCCTGTGGCAGCAATTATCTTTGCCCACTTCAGAACTTCAACATTGCTAGAATAAGGACTCTAGGATGTCATCCCATCTCTTTAGTGACATTAGGCAAGTGTTACAGGGACCTCTGTGATATCTGTCTCTGGCCATCTGACAGCAGCCTTTAATCTTCAGATGGATGATGCAAAGACCCTTAGAGAACGAGGCAAGAGGCAAGAGACTATTAATCTTTAACAAAAGGATAAAGGGGAAAAAAAAGTCATCTGGCATCCTTTTCAATCTGATTTTATCTGCTCCCTTTAATCGTGAACCTTTGCCTAGATCATTTGCATTCTGAACCCAGCAGATCCTGCCAGTGTACAGTTTTAAGGAGAGATGATTCAATCCCAGGGAACACCCACATGCTAGGAAAAGCAGTTCTTTATTTCTATAAAAAAAGATCATACCCTCACTTTCCCTAACAGCTGCCTCAAATGCACTTCAAAGATACTTGCTGAAAAAATTGGTTCCTCTTGAGGGTGGGCAGGAGGAGGAAGAGGTAAGGGCACAGTAATTCGCAATCACAATATAAGTTGGTCACAGGGACAGTAGAACAGCCTAGAGAATACAGCCAATGATTCTGTAACATCTTTCTATGTTGACAGATAGTGACTGCACTAGAGGGTGTGAGGATTTAATAGTAGGGGGAACTGTTGAGCCACTGTGCTGTATATTTGAAACCAACATAAAACTGTATATAAATGGTACATTAATAGAAAAAAAAGCAAAAAAAAAAAGGTTCCTCTCTTCTAACTGCATCTTAAGAAAACCAGAATGGCTGAAGAGAAAAGGTGGCTGCTTTACTTAGCATCACCAGCAGCATCCTGTGGACTTGCAGTCATCACGGCCACTTCCATAAAGGCTCATGAAAACCAGCAGCATGCAGCCCTCTCCCTATCCAGTTCTTTTGTTCAACATTGTTCCAGAGACACAAATGCAGCATTTGTTATCTCACTAAATTCCACTGTAAGCAGGACTGGACAAAAATTAAGAAGTGAAAAAGGGCTTTAAGGAGCACACAGACCCCAAGTATATTCTCCCTCTTTTGTCAAATAGAATTTGAACAGACAGCTTCTAAATTCACAACAAATTAGGATCACAAGGCAGAGCAAGCACTTATTTATTGTTTTCTATATTCCAGACACTGTTCTGCATGTGAACTTGTTAAATCCTTTGAATAACTCTAAGAGGGTGGACCTATTATGAGGTCCACTTGGCAGATCTGGAAACTGAGGCAAAGCCACACAAGCAGGAAGTGGCAGAGACCAGATTTAAATCCAGACCCTCTGGCTTCAGAGTCCATGCGGTTAACCGATCTTACACAGGGGAGAGATGGGGCATTTTTGATGGAGGCAAAAGCTCAATGACCTGGGCAAGAAGCTTCCCCAGACAATAAGGGGAACAACAGAAAACTCAGGGAACATAGCTTTGAAACCATCTTAATAGTTCAAGTTTATATGGGAAAACTAGGTAGCACAGAAGCTCCTGCCCTTCATAATGATTCATCCACTTTGGATGTTTGAAGGGCCACAGACTTTTCTGAAAAGTTGAGAAAACTATGGGCCTCGTCTAGAAACACACAGGGGCACATGCACATGCATGCTGGCAGTTTTAGGAGTGTTCGTGATGGGATTTCTTCCTAAGACTGCACATGAATATCCTTCAGTCTAAGGGAAAATGTCACAAAGTTAAATTTACCTGCCTCAAACTGTTCTCACAGAGCTCAAATAAGTTAAATGCTCAGCATGGAAGATATACACAATCATGAATAATTACTTAAAAAATGATTATTTTGGCATCATTTACCTAAGAAGGCAGGAGCTATGTAATATATTTTATAGAGTATGTCTTAAATGGTATGTTCTCCTAAACCCCAGCCTGAAGACTATAATTTGAAGAAGCTACTTCTAGCTAACTCGAAAATCAACACAGCTTTATTCTTTTCAGATCACTTGGGAGATGTGAACTTTTGGGTTCTTTTTCAGCAAAATCAAGACTCAAGTTTAAATAACCTTGAAAAATTAAACCTCTCACTAGCTCTATTTTCCTATCTGTGGAGATAATTCTTAGTTGAATATCAAAGCTCATGTTTAAAATGCCTAAAATAAGTTACCAATTTTTTTTTCAAACTCTTCTCAGGAAGAAATTATTAGAATGTTTTTTTACCTTCTCTAATCAAGCTGGCTCTTATTTATTTTGTTTGCCTCAGATATTCAAATCTGAATGTTTTCTTCTTCTTTTGCAACTCAGTTTTGAAGGACTTGCACTGCAAACTTATTTTAATTGCTAAGAGAATGCAACAGGGACTCAGGGTGAAATGGTGGTTAAACAAGAAGCTATTAGAAATAAACTAAGAAGTTCAACATTTGCATTTAAAAATTCTGTTAGATATGATCAAAGCGGCCCTGCCTCCCAGTTTCCTGTGGGATATATTTAGCACCCCTGAGCCTTACAAACAAGCACTCTTGTCCTTGCTTCGTCCCTTGCTGACCTTGCTGATCTGCTGCCTCTTTCCCTGGCTGTGGCGCCTCCCCGCACGCACATCACGGGGGTCTCACCGAAACCAGGCCTCCACTCTGCCTGGTTTCCTTTGGCAAAGACAGCTCCACGTGCGGTGGTGGGCACTTCGGCGAGACTCTATCACCCGGCAGCAGGATGAGAGCGTATCACTGATTTCTGCTTTCGGCTCATGTGGGACACTGGTCAGGAGTCCCTCCTCCCACACTGGGCTCTTTAATCATGTTGAACGATGGGAAGTGTCTCCCGGCAGTACTTGCAGTGATGGAAAGAGATGTGAAAAGGAAGCCAGGCACGGAGCTGGTCAGCTGGGGCTCCTCGCTCCCAGAGAACACAGGGGCGCGGGAGAGCCGACTGCGGAGGACAGGGACGTCCAGGGCCCAGCCCCTGGGCCTTCTGTGGCGCTGCTCCTCACCCTTTGTAAAGGAGGGCCCGAGGGATTGACAGAATCTGGGGCACTCTGGTCTTAGAGTGAACAGTGTCTTTGCTGAGGTCAGGATCTCCTTTGGGTTTGGTCTGTGAGTTGGGATTTAAAAGAAAAAAAAAGAGAGAGAGGCAGGATCTCACAGCCTGTCCCTCTGCTTTCCAGTCTGTAAAACACTGTATTAGGCATGAGATACTTAAATTTTTGATTTTTGCCCTTATGGAGATTTCAGTCCATTTGAGGAGACAAGACAAATTTTATCAGAAGCTGTAAGTGCAGAAGATTGTATATAATTAAGTGACTAATATTGTGGTAATAAACTACACCCTTGAGAAGTTCAAATCAGGGGAAAGGCCAATATTTCTTATTCACTTGACATTTCCTGGTACAATTCTTCTTTGGCTAGAAAAATCAGCCTGTGTAAGTATAAAGAAAAACGGACATTTGAAATTCAAAGAAAGGTGAAGCAAGTAAGAGTAAGAAAGAAGATCTTTGAATAAAAATAAAATAATCCCTTAAATCACACTGAGACAATTAGCAAGTAGTTAACATCCATTCATTCATTTAATAAGCTGAGTGCCTTCTTTGTGTGAGATATTTAGGATGCAAATATAAATAAGATATGTTCATGTTTCTGAGAAGCCCACAGTTCCTGTAAATCACTAATTTCGATACAATATGAACACTGTGAAAGAAACAAAAAATAAAAGCCAATTGTACTATGGAAGCACAGAGGACTGGTCATTTTATTTGGCATAGACTTCAGGTTACAGAGTGGAGAACCCTAGGTTTTGTAAGATATATTTAATATGCTCAAGAGGAGGGAGAGGTTTCTAGGATACTTTCTCCCCGGCTTCGTACTACTGATGTTTGAACCAGATCATTCTTTGTGAGGATGGAGAGAGGGCCGGCCACCCTGTGCACAGCAGGGTGTTTCACAGCATCCCTGGACTCTACCTGCTGGATGCCAGAGCACTGCCACCCACCTCCCCCAACCTAGTGTGACAATGAAAAATGTCTCCAGATACTGCTAAAAGTCTTCTGGGAGGGAAACCTGTCATCAGTTGAGAGCCAATGATCTAGGAGATAAACATACTCATCTTTGATAGAAAGAAACATCCTTAGAGTTGATATAAGAGTCTTTGAACTACTCCAGATGGACAGGAATGAATAGGACAGTTTTCTGCTCTCAAGTCAAAGAGAGTGTGAGAATGCACATTAGTACAACTTTTATACAGGACAATTTGACTATATTTGTCAAAGATACAAGGTCTTATACACTCTGATTCAGCAATCCCACTGTGGGTACTAACCTTATAAGTACAATAAATGTACTAATTGATAGATGTACAAGGTTATTCACCACATGAACTAAAAGATTAGAAGCAATCTAAATGTCCATTAATTGGGAGAGGGTTACTTACAAAAATTATGGTACTTTCATATAATGGTAGCACTAAGCAGCCACATTAATAATGAGGAAACTTTTTATGTATTGATAGAGAACAATCTCCAAAATACATTAGGTAAAACAACAACTAAAAAAATGCCAATGATAATTTCTAAAACTTATAAGATACAGAGCAGTATGTCTACTTTGCTACCATTGGTATAAAAAAGGGGAAAAGGAACATCTTTGGCTTGTAATACATAAAATATCTTCAAGGATGAATAAGGAATTACTCTCAGGGGAGGGGAACAGGGTACCTGGGGCATAGGATGTGTGGAAGACTTCATTCTATATTCTTTTGTACTTTTTGAATTTTAAACTACATGAATCTATTACCTATTCAAAAATACTAAAAAATGTAAATGCTGGCACTCCTCACCTAGGCAAAACCAAAGAGGCATGCTCTGGAGCTTTCCAGCCAGTGGTGGCTGCGCAGCTAGTTAGAGGAAACTAATTTCCTCATCCCTCTTGGTTATCTGCAAGCTCCAAGCTAGGCAATGTAATTATTTTTCAAAGTCAACAACTGAGAAATGCTTTTTTGAAGTGATGTCTATTGGGCCACAAAACAAAGTTTACTTAAGTTTCTTTTCCCAGACTTTCTGACTCCCGTTTATCAGCTGATTTCTCCCCCCTCCCTTTTCCTAGCCCTGGTAGCTCTAGCAGTTGGTTCTTAAATGATACACCCCTCAAACAATAAATCCAAGGATGACCTAAAGCCAAACTCTATGAAATTGGGTTAAAAACATCAACTAAAATGATGAGAAAATTTTATTTATATTGTCTATATTAGGAAAAGTGACTATAAGTCAAGATATAAAGTTTAGAAAACACTTTATGTTGTCAAATCTACCTCTTCAGTCACTAGCAGACTTAACTGAATTCATCGTATTTCACAACAGTGCAATACATACTCCTTGGTCTTACTTTACCAGTTCTGAAAACTTACCCTTCACTCCCTGCTGTTATCTTTCTAAAACAAACATACAAATATGATGTGTCTCTATACAAAACAATTTTAATGGTTCCTTATTTCCTATAAAATAAGATAGATTCTCCTTAGCACAGTTTAAAAAATGTCCTCTATTATTTGCTCCATTTCTCTTGTTTCAAGACTGGTATTGTTACTCATCATTTGCCAGACCTTACTTACAGTAGGTTACTTGATTTTCTTACAACAAGCTTCAAAGAGGGATTATCTTCATTCCACAGATGAGAAAATGAGGCTCAGAAAAATCCAGTTTGCCAAAGTTGCACAGTTAGTAAATGGAAGAAGAGTTGGAATTTAAAATCAAGTGAGCATGATTCCCAAATTTCACTGCCTCTAAGGGCATAAAATGGGAGGTAAAAATGAATTCATAATGTATAGGGATAAAAGAAAAAATAGCAACAGGGTAAATTTGAAAAGCATTTTTGAAAGATTATTCTAACACCTTTCCTGATAACATCATCCAAAAGCAATTGTCCCACATCTCATCAACTGGAACAGTGTGCTTACCCTTTACCAACCTCAGGGCACTTTGAACAGTTTGCCACATCCCTTGTTCTCCAGTCAGAGGGCAGAGCCAGTACAAAGGCAGGAATTTCCGAGGCAGAGTGAAGAGTTCAGTCTGGCAGTTGGAGCTGAGGAGGAGGGGAGGTTAGAGAAATAAGGTGGAGGGATCGCACAGGGCTACTTTTGGTTTTTGCTGTGTGTCCCCTTCTCAATGAGGTCCCTTCAGACCTGGCTATTGTTAACATTGCAACCTCTCTGACTTCCACTGTTACTTCTGAAGTCCTACTATGCTGACTTATTATTTTTTTCCATAGCACTGACCACCTAAAACACCAAAACATTTACCCACTTACTGTGAATACTATATATTGACTGTCTTCCCTGCTGGAAAGCAGGCTCCAAAAGGGCAACACTTTGTCTGGTTTTGCTATTGATGTACCCCAAATGCCTAGTGCAGGGAATGGCCGATAATAAGCTCTCAGCAAATGTGCTGAATGAATATTGCCCTTTACATTTTAGCCTGATTTCACAGTATGCCACGGTTTCTATTATTTTCACTTAGCTTTTATTGATTGCATTTGAAGATAGGTTTTTCCTTGAGGACATATATAGGCAAAGTGACCATATATTCTGAATATTTTGGGGACAAAATACTGAGTTACATTGCCACCATAAGTATTCTTACACTTGTCTCAATTTTCATTTAAGAAGATATGGTCTTAATATAAAGGAACAGACACATTTATTTTATATACATTATAAATATATGTATATATGTAAATGCAATATGTATTTATATATATATATTCCTTTTTCAGCTTATTTAGACAATAAATTCTATTCCTTTAAAGACATCTGTGATGTATGCAAATGGACAATTTCTAATTCCATCCCTTGAGGGGGTACATCTTATTTGGGGGCTTGCAAAAAACTGATTATAATACTTCTTTCTGCTTAAAATACTTAGAAGAAAATGTAATATATAATATCCTTTCAGACATGTCTTTCCAACCTAGGGGATACTTATATTTGTTTCACAGATCTTTTCTGAAATATTTAAAAGCATTTTAAAGCTTTTCAATGAATTTATTGAAGTAGTAGGGGCTAGAAATATATAATACTAAAATTCCATATTACTATGATTTTGTCCAAGGCTACATATTAAAATGTTGTTCCAATAACATTTCATTTGATACTTATTTACTATGGACTGATGGACCAAACTTCCTTTCCTCTTTCCCACCTCTTATTCCCTCCTCCCCCTCCAACTTTTTTTAGTTGGTGCAGGCCCAATACAATTCATTTACCAATATTTTATAATAGGTTATAAAGCAAGAAAATAATAAGTTGTTTTTCATTATTTATGTTGTAACAATGTTACATACTTTGTAGCTAAAATTATAAGAATGATATGAAAATTTTTAAGAAGCTTCCTAGGTGAAGCTGAGAGTTGAGAACCACCATATTATATAATACCACATTCAAGTAAATTAACACAAAATACCATATTTTCTTAATCAGGAAAGATTAAAAATAATGTTCACTGGTTGCAAGGGTTGGGTGACAACAGCATTCTCAGTCATGCTTATGGGAGCACAACTGATGCACAGGTCAAGAACATTGCAAATATCTGTGTCCTCTGAACCAATCATTTTGCTTCTGGGAATTGAGCCTAAGAAAGTAAACAACATAACTGGTAAGGGTTTATGAACAATGAAGTTCATTATAAGGTTATACAGTAGAAGCTTGCTAAATAACCTCCACCTACCTGATGAGCTTTCCATTCCCAAAGAAAGATGTACTGATGAGGCTCATGACTCATGGAACCTTGGCAGCTGGCTGACCCCCTCCAGAGGGCCTGCCAGTTCGGCTCCCATCACGTTGTATGAAAAACGAAAAGGAGTCAGTGACTCTTCCTGAACTGGTTCATGTTGTTTGTCCTTGTTCTTGTCACTAGATAATTTAACTTCAACTATACGATATAGAAAGGACCAAACTTGAGTGCAAAAGTGTTTTTGTTCCTTTAAACTAAGTTGAAGGTAAGACTTGACAAAGGTGGGCTGCTAAAATAAAATGGAGCTACTGAGTTAGGAGTGAGTGAGAAAGCTGTAAGCCCTTAACATTCTTATTCATTAGGAATGCTCTGCCTCATTGTAACAACGCTGAAGTAGAAAATTATTGAGGGTCCATTATGAACTTATTTAGGAAAGAATATAAACCTCAAGCCAGTGGTTTTATTCTCAGAGAAAACATCTGCCTTATATTAAAAAGCTAGGAAAAGATGCAAATTGAAATGTTCCAAGTTAGAAGAACAATTTGAAGAATATGTTATCATTTTTATAATTTCTCATTTTCTCTAATTTTTGATCAGTTTTATCAGTAAGTTATCATGTTACAGGCTGCAAGAAATATACACCTAATATAAAATGTAGAGAAAATATATATGTACAAAAATACTAGAGGGAAATATACTAAAATATCAGTATGTCAATATATAGCTAGATTATAGGTGATTTTTAAAACTTCATTCCTTATTCTTTGGTATTTTTAAAACTCTGTAAACATAGTTTTATTTCAACTCTATAAATTGCAGCAAAAGTGTAAAGAAGAGTAAGAAAGGAGTAACAAGGACACTATAGCCCGAGGTTTCCACTTTATAATCCATATTAAATCTTTGAGTTTCCTGTTACTAAGAATATTCATGGCAAAAAAAAAATGGGAAGGATGTTCCTCTCTGAAGTTACACTTTTGTTTTTATCTTGATGCACTCTCTGAATTTTCAGATATCATATGAGCTCTTTCTCTAAACCAGGTCAGCACATGAGTCCCAAAAACATAATTAGACTCCAGTAGATATGTGGGAAGAAATCTGGGGTTAAACCTGTGAGGCTGTGTTATTCCCGTGTGTCTCTGCTTGAGAGTACTTAACCAGCTGTAGAGGGTTTACAGCCACCTGGACTTAGAGGCACCTGATGGCTCTGGTTCAATAACAGCATTAACATGACTTTCCTGGGAGCTGCTTCTCACTGCTCCCATTGGTCCTTGATGTTCTTTCCTTTCTGGGTCCCAGTCAGTCTCTGGCTTCTGGTTTAAGCCGTTTAGATGCCACAGTCACTTCTTTTTTACTTCTAGTTTTAGAAGTATTATCTTATTTTTTTGTTTTTTATTGTCTGTAAAACATCCCACATGTTACATGTGAGTCAGACATTGAATGATAGGGGAGGTTTCAACTGTACATGGGGAAGGAATTCAGAGGAACCCACAGAGAGAATGGGCAGGCATGGGGAGGATGTACCACTTACTCAGGGAAGGGTGGGGTGTCCTGCAAAGTTGAACATAGTGTACTTACAAGCAGGAGTATCTTTAAAAAGCATTTATCAGCTGGTACACATCTGGATGTGCCCTATCAGATTGGATGCTATTTTTTAAACAACTGCTACTGGTATGTAGTTACATAAAAGTGACTACTGGGAGCTAAGGCTGAGATGTTAGGTTGAGTGACACTGGAGTATCTTAATGGCTTTGTTAACACATTTGGGCTTTTTGGAAGGTAGTGGGAAGGTACTAGAGGCTTCCAACAGGTCAGCAAAACAATTAGGAAGTTTACAAAGGAAGTAGATTTCAGTCTGCACTGATTGGCAGGGAAGGATCCAGGGTAGGGGGATCATATCAGGGGTCAGAAGGAATCCATCAGGGTTGTCGGTATGAAAACTACAACGAGAAAAGGGATATACAACAATGGCAGAGGTGGCACTAGCAACATTTAAGGACTGGTGGCTTGTAGGCAGCAAGGCTAGGGAGCAAATCAAGGATGATTCCAAGGTTTCAAACTGGAGTTTTAGGAGAATGTTGAGAAGGTTGCCAGGATGACTCAGAACAGCAAACAAGGGGCCTGGGAGATTTCTAATGGGTGACCGTGCCAAGGGTGGGTGAATGGCACGAATGGGGGAGCTGTGAGCCACTCCTACCATGGCTGTCCTTCTCCATGTCCCCTAACTCATTCTCAATAATCATATAATCCAATACAAATAGGGCACTGACTGTGCAGCCTCCCTTTCCAATCATATTGGTCTTGCAATTCCCTTTTAAAACAGAGGCTCTGGAGCCATTACCAAGGTGCCTATGTGGTGAAGGACGGGAACAGACCTGCAAGCAGTAGTGCCCTGGAGCAGGCTCACACAGCCGACTGTTCATTCCAGCTCCGGGTCACTAATACCATGTGGGTGGCTGGGAACTGGTTACGGTGGGAATATTTACACCACAGAAACTGGCATACTGCAAATCTGGGTGTTTTTCTCCCCAGAAGCCATTTATTAAATATACCTCTCTTGAGCTATAAATTGGCTATGAAAGTAAAAAAGTAGTGAAGTTTATATATATCATTTATATATACATAGTCACTTGTATATTACTTGTGTAAATAGTATGTGTGCATGTGTGTGTATATATATAGATATAAATAAATGGTATATATACTTCCATAACTTATAAAAGCTCTTGAATGATTGTAAGGCAAAGTTTAAGAGTATCAGCTGGAAGGAGAAAAAGGAGGAGCACATAATGATTTTTGAGGTATACTTGATATCAAGGTTCAGAGACGGTGGGATGGCAAGTGTGCTCCCACCTGGAAGGGATCTCTAAACATTTTCAAGTTAGTCATTGGTTCCTTGAGGGAAAAATTCCTTTTGATTTTTAAAATAATATTTAATATTCTGGTACAAATTAAGTTTTTCAAAGCTGAATGTTATAGGTGGTTCCTGCTTCTCATTCTCTCTCTTGCAATGGTCCTCCTGGATTTCCTCTACAAATGTGGCTAACAATTCAACTGAGCAATGAAGAATTTTCTCAGCAGGCTAGCACACTGAATATGTGAAGCTTCTTTTCAAAGAGGTAACCAATCGCCTCAATGGTATACCATTAAACTTCTTTTTGGGGGCATCTTTCTGGAACTAGGTCTGTGTTAAAATGTCCAGCCCACCCCTCTGCAGCTCAATTTCCCCACTCTTTCTCCTCCCTCCTTCAAAAGGCTCGTGTACTTTGTATTCACTCTTCTCATAATGAGGCATTTCTAAGGCTCAATCCCTTAACTGTGAAATTTATTATAGGAATTGTTAACTAGATCAGGCAG